GGTCCTTCATCTCACTGATCATCTTTGATTCTCTATCAGGTAATTTACTTATTTCTGTTTCACTAGAGTCAATTTCTTCACGTTTCTTTTGTTCCTTTATTTGGAAGATATTTCCCTGTTTCTTCATTTATTTGGACTCTATTGTTTTTACCTACGCTTGTAAAGTAGTAGCCAGCTCTTCCAGTCTCTAGAAACTATTGGCCTTATAGAAAAAAGAAAACCTTAATCAGTCCAAGTAGAAATCCTGGGGGCCTCTCAAACATTCATACTCATGCAGACCTCTTTTCTTAGCAGTCCCTATACCTCAGAAATACACTGGTACCATCAGTACTGAGACAAGCAAGACAAGCGAGACAAGCCAGTCCTCTGATCAGCCCCCAGAAAAGCTGGCACTTGGGATGGTCGTCAAACTCTATTATCTCACCTCCAGAGATCAGGGGTTTTCCATCTGCTTGGTGTGTTGTGAGCTGGCAAAGACACTCTGGAAAGTATATACCTGCTACTTTTCACCAAAACCTTTGTTTTCCGGGCTTCACCCCACTTCCAATATCTACAGTATTCTAGGTACTATCAGCCTCCAAGGTAGATGAGAGGGAAGTGCTGTGACAAGCTGAATACTGAACACATGGTGTAACTATTCCCACAGGGGGAAGCTGAGAGTGAGGGGTTTCCTTCCAATCACACAACACTGCACCAGAGGTGGAGATTACGGTGTCTTGATTTTCCTGTCCATCTTGATGTGGCTGGTTTCATTTTAATCAAGAGCACAAGAGGCTCTCAACTGGTTTTTGGATTTCTTAGGAAGGAAATTCCTCCACAAACAGTGGTTGAATTAGGCCTTGCTAATCTCTACCATCTTGCTCACATTATCTCTTTCAAGGTTGTTTCTGCCATTCTGGGTGGGAACTGAGCACAGGACCTTCACACTAACCTACATCCTTAGCACCCCCACCTTGTTTTTTATTTTGGAACAAGGTCTCAGTAGGTCGTAAAGAGACTTGCAGTCTTCCTGTCTCAGCTTCCCAGAGTGCCAGGGTTACAGGCATAACATATTACAGGTTACAGGACCACCATGCTCCTCTGCGTCTTTAAAAGACATCAACTTTATATACTTTTTCCTAGGAAAAGCTTACAGTCTTAAGGGTGGTTATTATACTTCAAGAGAAAGAAAAATGATTTTAAAAATCATCGGAAGTCCATGTTTAATAATACTGAAATTTTCAATAACTGGCATGTATTTCTACTTATAAGAATCATTTTTCTGGATTTTAGGAGACATAACAGTCTTAGAAATAGATTTTTAAAAAATTAGATGGTGCCATCTGTTAAATATTTTTAACAGATGTTGAATCTTTAAAGTTTTCTTCTCCCATGAAATTTTTCATTATCACATTAAGAAGTACATATATTAGCTTTGGTTATGTGTTTTAAAATCCAACAACTCTTTTTGATAACATGTCCTAATGCTAAATCTTTATTTCTATTTTACCCCTGCCAAGTCTGCCTCTCCCAGATTTCACCAATTTCAGACCGAAATTGTCCACGTTTTCACACAAATTGTCCAAGTCCAATATGATTCCTTTCTTGCCTTCTCCGAGTTTCTTCTCCCGGCCTGTGAGGCTGATCCACCCTCAGGTACAGCCTGAGTCCACTCATCTGTCATTGCCTTTGTGACTGTCCCCCTGGCCTACAATATACCTTGGCCTGAAGGTGTCTCTGGCTGTTTTCAACAATGATCCAGTAAATTCATTACATTTCACCACATACACGTATACAGCTAAAACAAAAATTCTATTAAACTACTTTCTCTTGCTATACATAATGCTATACATATCTTGCTATGTATATCTTGCTATACATATACTCCAAAGTTTAACTTATTCTGTATTTTAAAAATGTCAGTCCAACTTAGCCATATTGACTAATCAGGATCTCTCACTGGTGATACGTTTTTGAAAAACATCTTCTCGCTGGTCTCACTGTATTGTTTTAGAACAATTCTCTGGCTGGGAAATCTATCAAAACACAACTTTGCCTCTTGTCTGCTCATAAGTGGCTTCCTATCACACTTAAACTACACAGTCACATGCAGGAGCTTCCAGGCTGTGTGACCTAAACCCTGCCTATCGCTCAGGCCCCATCTCTTACCCCCGCCCAGCATTTACCCCAGTTGCACAAGTGCACGCTTCTGACTGCTGCTCACACACACTAAACTCACACCTCAGCTCTCTCCTCTGCTGAGGACTCCAGATCATCCTGCAACTCACTTCCTACACCTCTCTCAGCTCAGTCCTACTCGGCACACAGGACGGTCCCCATCATTCTTTCTAAAATGAGGTCCATAGTAGATTGGTAACTGGCGATCAACTTAAACACCAGCTGAACTGTATCAGCAGGGCACTGAATGTAGATGGACACCTGAGGATTCTTGCTAGCATAAAAAGGAGACTTGGAGAGGAAGAGTAGCATTGTGGATTCTCCTAAGTGTTGCTGTTGTTTGGAGCTGGTGGTTCTCCTGGAGGAGCCCTGTCATGCTGGCTCGCTCAGTATGAATTCGACTGTTATCATCGGAGGAGCTCAGGACCTTGCTCTGTGAATGGTGCACTTGGGGGGAGCTCTGGTCCTTACATTCAACATCGCTTCCTGACTCCGGAGAGGAAGATGCATGCTGTTTAATCTACAGAAGAAGCTTGTCACACTGGCTTCCTGATATGAACTCGGCTGTTCTCATCATCAGCTCAGGACCTCAGTGTGATAATGGCTGTGGTACTTTTCAGAGGAGCCCTGGTCCTTATTTTGAATATCACTTCTTGGTTCCAGTGCAGAACCCTCAATCTACTAGCACAGATCCTTCACCCTGCTGGCACAGACTTCCTAACTTCCACCACTGAACTTCGGGCCTTCTCAGTGCAGATCTATAAAATAGACTTGCATGAGACATTAGCTGGACTCATGCAGAACATTGCTGTGGGATCCAGGCCCTTGGCTGGATTTTCTAGGTCTTCAGTGCTGTAGATAGGTTTCCTGCACTTTGTATTTGGTCCTAGGGTGACCATTATAAATAACTATAAATTATGTGTCCTGTATATAATTGTTCTCCTTGCAACCTCTGACTACAACAAGGTCTTTGTACCTTCATTCTCTTGTCTTATCTTGTTTTAATGTTCTTCAAATCACTCACCACTTCCCAGCATTAGCACATATAATTGTTTTTTATTTGCATCTCACATGTGTTAGTTCCATGGATGCAGAGAATTCTGTCTTGTTTCCTATAATTCCTTAGCACCTGCAGAGGGAGGAGATGATCTTGGCAAAGAGGTAACACAAATCATAACTTGTTTTCTTTACCAAGGCCTCCAAGAACAGTTTCTCTTTTCACTGCCTGAACCCGACCCACTCAATTCTTCTACTCCTCAGGGCTGCAGACTCTTTGTCTGATATTACGGAAGCTTTCTCATCCTAACAGCCTTTGAAAATTCACCTGTGTAAAACAACCCCTGCCTCATCAAACAGACTTCTCTCCCCCATCCCATAAAGCACAGCACTCATTTCTTTATGCAATTAAAAGTCATAGTCAAATTATTTTTGTGTGTGGCCCCTATAGAGCTCTGTCTGTTTTAAATTGTGTCTAGAAGTACGTGCTATGCCATCCTTGTGTCGGTAAGGGGTAGTTTGCCCAGTGCTAGGTTACCAGAATACTTTTAATGAATATTGGGTCAGATTTTAACAAGTTGAATTAATAGTTGAAACAAATGTGGGTTTTTGAAGTCAGAGATACAGGTCTGAATCTCAGCTGTTGCATAATCTCAGTTGAGTAGCCTGTGGCAAATTACTGAGCCTCTCTGGAGATAAATATAAGCCAAAATCTTAGCACTACATCTGACGGAGTATTGGCTGGGAACATGACACCCCTATTTCACTGAGCTGTATGTGTATCTAGTAGGGTAACACAGGAGAGTCGCTCATCAGAGATGACCCTAGTGCAGGCCTCTCTCCCTGTAGCTCTTCATTGCTAAGCAGGATTTTAATGCTCCTTTTTGTGGGACAGGAAGCTGACAGTCCACTTAACCCACATCTTTACCACCAGGGGGAAGTTGAAGATCCTCGGTTTTTGTGGAAAGCAGAAGATCATTTTTTCAAAAATTTCTCCTGGTATCAATCTCTCTCTGGTATCCAGTTTCCTCAAATTTGGGGGGAGAAACAGTCTCTTGGCTATTTTCTATAAGTCTCTAACTATCCTTTTTTTAAATATAACTTTGTTCAAGTTTAGCATGTACCCACATTCGTTCCAAAAGCATTCCTTAGGGCAATGCTAAGTATGGTACTAACAGTGATATACATAGTGGTCAACAAAAGATGTAATCACTGTCTTTGTTTACTCTGTGGTTTTACAGAGTGTAAACTGCCAAAGATTTCCCCATAACCATAAGTATTGAGATTAGAGAAAAAAAGAAAATAGCAAGTTATTTTACACATATTGTCATCCAATCTCCACAATATCATTTAACTGAAATTTCACAGACTAGTAAGTGCATGACATAGTGTAGTATATTTACACAAAGGTAGAAGAAGAGACCAATGAGGTTGGAGTCAACAGACCAGACCAGGTTTTGTATTCTAACCCTCCATTTTAAAAAAAAAAAACCTACAAGATTTGATCAGTTCACTTTGCCTCTTTATACCTCTGTCTTCTGTAAAATTATGAGATTAATAAAATTCTAAGACCGTTTCTAGTTTTAAAAAATATCTGCATGCCATTAATTCCAGATTGTCTAGGGGAAAATAGTTCATCATACAGATTTTAAAGTGCACCATTTGGAGTTGTGAACATCTAAGTCAGTTTTATATTATTTCTCAGTTCAAAATTGTCAAAATGTCTTCCCTAAAGAAAGAGTATTCGGAATCAAGGTGCAAAATTTGCAAAAATTACAAAGTGTGGCACAATCATAAACATGTCATGTATATTAAAAATGAGTTTCTTATATATAAATGATCATCACCTGGAAAATAATTCTTTTCTGAAATAAAGATATTCCAGCCTGAATTCCTTCAAAATTTCTATTAATTTGACAAAGACTTTATCAAGAGATTCTTTGTGATTTCCCAAGCTGTTCAGTCTTAATCTGCAAAGATTTGGCTTCTTTTCCATGATATGGTTGAATTCCTACGAAGAAAAGTCATAAAACAAACTCCAAAACTTCAATGTTAAATATAAACAAATGACAAAAGAAAAATAACCTGGACATTCCCATCTCAATGGTTTTCACCGCTATTAGACCCTGAAATTATAACTGAATAGTTCTCAATTCTCAAGTGTCCAGAGACTATTATATGGTTTGATTATATGAACATAGCGCATACATCTAGCAGGTAGCTCAACTGAGTTACATTTTCTTTTTCTTAAGTAGGTTTTTGATCATCTCATCAGTCATCAAAATTTGCTTTAGAACAGGGTTAAGTCAAGTAATGCAGTCAAATTTGCTGGTCATTATATTCAAAGCAAATTTTACAAAAGGTTACATTGGCAAAGGAGTTGCATACATATATTTCAATACTGCCAAAAAATATAGATGGAGATATATATAGGAATATATATACACAGCAATCATATATATCTATAGATATAGATATAGATGGTACCAATGGTACCAGTATAATATTTCAGAGTTTTTCTTTACATTAATTTAGTAGAAGTTGATAGATACTGACAGAGTTTGGCAGTCAAAAAGTGGAGGTTCTACTGTAGGTTATGAATTAAATTAAGAAGATTGTTTCTTATATGCTTCTTTTCTAACAAAACTGAGAATAGCAACCAAAGAAGATCGTACTTTTCAAATGTTCTGCTATTTTCTGAGATGCTAAAACTGTCAGATTTGGTGATAAGATCTTTATATACACTAATCATTCTATCAAAGTTGAGAACTGTGATATGCCAAGCAAAAACTCAAGCTTACTAGCCAGTTCTCGTAAGTGCAAAAACACCTTTTTCCACTGTCTTATTAATTCCTTGTCTCTCCATCACATTGTACATACCCTCACGTGTACTCTTATTCTTTCCTTACTCTCGGGGTCATGCATATTAACCCTAACTTTCCCACTCAAACTTATCTACATCCCACACTCCCGTGTACCCCCAGACACACACACTATATTCAGCATCAGGCTAAGAAGATAAAGTCTTAGAAACTGTATTACATAGTATCTAGTAATACCTGAATTATCAAAGTGGAAGAAAAACCTGGAAAACCACAAAATACCCAACACTTACATGAAGCTGCTGTACCCACTTTTCTTCCACAGTGATTTCTGGGTTAGTGACCCACTGAAAGGAGCCATCAATGAAGGTTTCAACTTCTGAGATTTCTTCAAACTGGCAGAAAAAAGAGAGAGTTCTGCATCTTCAACTAGGAATTCAGGCAAAAAGGATGTGGCATTACATAATAAGAACTCATTTAGATTGAAATTCTACACACAGATAATCTAGGAAGCCTTTAGGCAGAATTCCTCTTCATCTAAGCTCCTCCATTCAACTTCCTTTATTCAAGGCTGTGATCATAACATGCTGACTCTTGCCAGGACCTCAGTTTGCACTCAGTAAACACAGTTAGAATGATTTCCCAGAACATAACATTTCCCTTTTCTTTTCCCTTTCAAATAGAAACAAACAATTTCACTGATTTTTATCATCAAGCTCTATGCTACATACCATAGGCTCACACTGTTAAAAGGAACTAAAAATGCACACCTGAAGGTATTATTGACTGATTTCTCTGGCCATCTAGATTTTCCATGTGAATTATCAAAATGGAAAAAGAAATATTAGCTTTTAGGAAAAAGGAAATTTAGAGAAAAAAACTATCCAGTAGGTATCATGCCTTCCACCCTTTGATGCTAAAGATTAAACTGCAGGAAGACAAGCTCAAGCTTTCATATCTAAAGAGCAATCTCTTAATCCTGATTGGTTCAGAACCAGATGATCAATTTCATCAGCTTTTGAGGAAATCTTTTCACAGGATGATTAATTTGGGTCTCAACAGAACACAGACATATTTGGACTCAGTAAATAGGCCGTAGTCAGTAATCTACAGATATTCCCAGCCAGTGAAATAGCACAACACTGTAAACGTATGCCATAAAATACCAGCTTTTGAAGTGTAGCTGTGAATTCCACTCCCTTCTGTTCACACTGTCTGAGGAACTGCAGCGTTTCTTGGTCTGCCATTGCATCCCGGGATGACAAGCTGGTAAAAGTGCACTGCCACTCGGTGTCATTGTTCTGAAACAATTACCAAAATGCCCACAACTCCATGACTCATAAAAAGAACATTCATTAGTTTTATTTTATAAAATGATGCTCATGAGTCAACGTAAGTATTATTAGCAAACAATTTCTAAATCATCACATGGAATCTTCTACAACCTGCAAAGACTATGGACATCTCTCTAAAATGGTTTCATCTAACAATAAAAAAAGACTTGTTTATGAATTTACTCCCATGTGGGGATAAAAAGTCATGGCTCTTATTTTAACACAAAAATAGGAGAAAGTAAAGAAATTCACAGGAGGCTGGATTAGAGAAAGAGGAAGCTATCTTCTGAAGAGAGAGGAAGAGCTCCAGGAACCAAGACACAGAAGACAGGAAGCTAAAAATCATAGAAGCAAGACAGCAACCCAGAAAAGTGAAAAATAACCCACAGCACCAATCTCAGCACCTCGTGGGCTGGGGAACCTGATTATACAAGCCCCGAAGTAGAAATGGGAATCAAACCTTCAAGAAGCCTGCTCACCAAGTTGATCCCCACACAGAACTGGGAAAAGTATCTATCCCAACAAATATCAACATAGAAACAATATGATAAAGCCAGGCAACACGATTCCTTCAAGGGTTTGGAACTCTTTAGTCACTGACTCCAAAAATACTGAAACGGATGCAGTGCTTAGTGAAGAATTTAAAAAACTGATTTTTACAATGACTAATGATTTCAAACAGGACACAAACAGCTGAATGAATTAAGGAAGACCATGAAGGATATAAGAGAGAGCAATTCAATAAAGAGATTCTGAGTAAGAAAGCTTGAAATGAAAAGCTCAATGAGTCAAATCAAAAGCTGAGAGGAAAGCATCACCAACAGATTAGGTCGTGCAGAAGACAGAATTTCAAGGCTTGAGGACAATGAATTATCACATTTAGACACTAATAAAGAAAAATAAATCATGAACAAAATATGCAAAGACATCTGGTACATAATTAAAGACACCAAATTTATGAATTTTTGGTAAACAAAAGGATTCCAAGTACAGAATAAAGACACAGAAATTCTATTCAGTAAAATAATAGCAAAAATGTCCTAAATCTTGTGAAAGATGTGAACCATTCAAGTATAGGCAGCTAAATAATTAAAAATTCCCTATGTCATATTTATATGCCAAGCATACAGAAGAAAGAAAGAATATTGAAAACTGCAAAGGAAAAATGTCCAGTCATTTATAAAGGTGCACTCATCAGAGTAAATGCAGATTTTCCAGCAAGAACTCTATATGATAGAAGGGCATGTAATGGTGTATTTCAAGCCCTGAAAGAAAATTGCTGCTCACCTAGATTATTACATTCAGCAAAGATAGCCTGCAGAATTGCAGGAGAAATAACAACCTTCCATGAGAATCATAACTAAAGAAATTCAAGACCAGACTGGGAAACCAAGCAACCAGCTCGCCTCCCTGGTAAGTGGTTGTGGCTTGGCAAGCCACAGGGTGAGAACCACCAGCATCTCCTGAGATCAGCGCCATGTTGGAACTTAGTGAGCCTACCAGCGTGTGGGCTGAGAATCAAACGTCCCAACCCTCCCCATTAGCAAATGGGAGCCAGAGACCTGAGCATCTCTTGGGAGTATGACCATATGCAATATACCAAACAAGAGGGATTTCCTTCTACCATCTCTTTGAAGGCAAATATTTTTACCACTGTTTTGCTTTGTTCTGATTAATGGCATTGCTCTATTCAATACTCCATTTTGATAAGTTCTATAATATTCTGTATTTCATTTGATTTTGCTATACCTGATTGAAAGAACAACTATTGTGAAGATAACGAGATATACTGTGGTACCTATTACTGTTATCCTGATAACCTGCTGTGAAGTTCTGTATCAATTTCACTATACCTCTCATTTGGCTTTGTTCCATCTTGTTCTATTGTATTTTACTACTTTCAAAATAATAAAAAAAATTTTTTAAAGAAATTCAATGCTGGCATTGAAAAAGGAATTTTATCATTTAAAGGAATCCTACACACATACACACACACACACACACACACACACACACACACACACACGAGGAAGAGGGAGAAGAACAGATAAACAATTGAGAATTAGGAAGGAAGCATTTGAAAAACAATTAAATTATACAAATTAGTATATATCTTTCCATAATGACCCTGAATGATCTTAAGTCACCAATTAAAAGCTATATACAGGCATACCATATTTAAAAACAAGACCCAAGTTCTGGGGATTTCGCTCAGTGGCACAGTGCCTGCCTGGCAAGCATGAGGTCTTGAGTTCGATTCCTAGTACCTCCCCCAAAAGTAGTAGATGAAAACAAGACCAAACTTATTTTCTACCTGCAAGAAACATACCTCCCAACAAAGACATGCATAGACTCAAAATGAAAGAATGAAAAATGGTATTTCAAGCAAATGGAAACCAAAAGCAAGCAGGAGTAGCTACACTCATAGAGACAAAGCATGCAAAAATTCAGCCAAAAAGACAAGAAACCCATTACATATTAACAAACAGAATAATCTACCAAGATGTAATTACTATAAATATTTATACACTGATCATCAGTGCACCCAATTTCAAAAAACAAGTACCACTGGACATAAAGGAAATGAAATGGGTGTGTTCACACCACTGTTATTCAATATTGTACTTAAAACTTTAACCAGAGCAATCAAGCAAAATAAAGAAATAAAAGGGTTCCAAATAAGACAGGAGAAAGCAAAATTATACATTTTCAAATGAATTGGGCCTATGTTTACAAGACTCTGCCAAACAACCTCTTAGAATCAACAAATATAGCAAATTACTGAGATACAAAATCAACATTCAAAAAGCAGTAGCTTTTCTATACTCCAATAATGAATCTATTGAGAAGTCAGGAAACTAAGTTCATTTGCAATGGCTTCAAAAATAATACAATATTTAGGAAATAAACCTAAACAAAGGTAAAAATTGTAAAACACTGAAGAAATAAATTGAAGAAGTCAGAAAGACTTCCCATTTTTATGAACTAGCAGAATCAAAGTTGTAAAAATGGCCATATTACTGAAAGTGATCTACTGATTTAATGTAATCTCCATCAAAATAACAATGACATCCTTTATAGGATGAAGAAAAAAAATCCTTAAATTCACGCACAAAAGACTCACAATAGTCAAAGTGATTCTGAGATAAAAGAGAACCTTAGAAGTACCATAAAACCCAATTTCAAAAATATGCTACAGAACTATAGTAACACGAACAGTGTGGAATTGCCATAAAAAGAATCATGTAGATCACGGGATAGAGATCCCAGAAATTCACAGTCATTTGATTCTCAAAAAAGATGCCAAAAATAAATGTCAGGAAAACTACAACTTTGTTAACAAATTATGTTGGGAAAACTTGATATTCACATGTAGAAAATGCAATTAGATCTTTCTCTCTCACTCAGCACAAAAAAATCAACTAAAAGTAGACAAAAACATAGATAGAAGACCTGAAATTTTAGACTTCTGGAAGAAAACACAAGGAAAACACTTAAAGTTATAAGCACAGGCAACAACTTCCTGAAAGAAGACTCCAATAGCTCAGGAAATAGCAGGAATCAATGAATGGGATCTCATCAAATTATAAAGATTCTGCATGACAAAGGAAAATATCTAAATGAAGAGACACCTATATTTTCAGGACTCTACAATGAGAGAAAATATTTGCCTCCTACACTTGTAACAGAGAATTGATAGCCAGAATAAATACAGATCAAAAATTCAACACCGAGCGAATTATCTGATTCATGGATTGCAGGGAGAGAGAACAAGGCCACACCAGGAAGTGAGCCCAGCCTGGGAACCAGCACCACCTACGGGCCACCACCACACTGCGAACAGCCAGACCCCAGCCCCTTCTGGTGAACAGGCTGGCAAGCAAGTAGCAATCATCCCCAGCTGCCCATAAGTGACTAGTTTATCTAGAGAAACACAGCCTGTGATGATAGGTATCGAGGTGAAGTGCAATTGGATGCCTGTGCTTTGGTGTTTCACTATCATTGCAGGTCTAGGGCCAGTGGTCTGATCATAGATTCAGAGCATAGGGGTACACAATGTGACATCTAGCGGGGATCTCCTTCTGGGGGTTGTAGTCACTGTTGATTCCCTATGGTCTTGTTTTAGAGTTTTGTATTGATCCTACTGCTTTGTTGATTGGTTTTATTCTCTTTGTTTTGTTTATGTCAAATCCGATGGCAGGACTAGCTATTTCAAAGATAGCAAGATATTTTATGGTAGCAATTTTAGATTTATTATTGGCTTGTTTTGAAGTCTTTTATTGCATTGTTTTGCTTTGTTGTTCCTATTTTGTTTGATTTTTACTATGTCCAAGATTATCTATAGCTATCTTGAAGACATTGAGGGGCATTATGGCAACTATTGTCCTGTATCTCTTACACTGATTTGTTTGATTGGTTTTATTCTGTTTTATCCTCTTTAAAATAAAAAAGAACACATAATCCAATCATTCAATGGGAAATGAACTGAACAGACATTTCTTCAAAGTAGTATAAATTGTCTATAATAATAATGTTTGCCTTTTTAACAATCAGGAAACACAGCTCCAAACCACTTTGAGATTTCATCTCACTGATGTCATAATGACTATCATTAAGAATAAAAAAAATGCTTATGAGGATAGAGAGAAAAGGAAACCTTCACTCACTAGTGGTGGGATTACAAATTAGTAGGGCCATTATAGAAATCAGTATGGCAATTACTCCACAAAATAAACAACAAAACTACAAGATTCAGCTACACCACTCTTCCAACATACACCTGAGAGAATTAAAGTCTAGATTCTCATGTTTATTATGGCAGAATGCACAATCGCCAAGTAACAGAATCACTTTAGGGACCCATCAATGGGTGAACGGGTGAAGACAAAGTAGTGTCTATATACAATGGGGTGCAATTCAGCCATAAACAACAGGTCACCATATTATGTGAAATAAGCCACATTCAGAAATACAAGTGTCACATACTTTCCCTCATATGTGGAATACAGGGGAAAAAAAAGTAACACAAAAGTAGAAGAGAAATGGTTAGAGAGGAAGAAGGGGACGTTCCCAGGGAGAGGGAAGGACGTTAATCCAGATGAACGCAATCAAACTATGTTATATGCATATATTAAAAGTTCATAGTGATGGAACTCAGTAATGTGCACTAGTATGTATAAGAATGAATATATGTTATATATGAAAACAATTCACAGAGGGTACTCCATTGATCCCCCTGGTGATACACTGGTTTCCTTTGTCTCTTTCCCATCGACCATAGACAACACTTCACAATGTACGTTTTCTGTTCTCTCAGAGTCTGTCTTCAGCCACCTTGACGATCTATGACATTTTTGGCCTTCTTCTTGCTGACTCCTGGAGACTCAAGGACTCATTTTCATTTTTCAGTTAGGAGGCAAACTTCCCAGTTTACAGGGGAGCAAACCTCAAAGCCAGAACTTTGCTGGCTGATAAGCCCCCCCTGGGTAATACAGAATTAATAAGCCTGCATCTTGACATTATTATTACCACAGAGGACTGAGGATTAAAACACAACCATGGCAGATTTGCCACTGTTCCATTCAGTCTGGCAGTTTGGCTGGGTTTCAAAAACACTGGGAAAGCATGAGTTCTTGAAATGGAATGTCCCAGGAACGCAGCCCTCAGCAGAATGTCCAGGGCTGCTTGAGACAGCATCTGAGGAAGGAGCATATGTTGTCCCTGCATCCTTGGCAGGAGCCGTGCACATACAGCATTTGCCCCCAAGGCATGTTCTTCTGCCTGCAAGGTCATCCCAGAGCTGGCAGCAGGAGTGCACCCGACATATCAGCATCCACAGACACAGCAAGGCTGGAGCAGTGCGAAGAAAGTAATTTGCCAAATAAAACATTTCCAAACATGACAAGGACAAAACCAGGAAATACAAAGAAGTGCAAATGGAGGAGAGGCGGGCAGTGCTGCAACATTTCCACCCCCCGAAAGCCTTCCCATTTTGAGTGTTTCTCCACAGGTTGGAAAGAATTGGGTCCAGGAAAAACTAGATTATTTTGCAAGTAAAAATTCATTTTACTACCATTTAAAAATTAGCCACAAAGAAGAGAAACTTGAATCATTTGAAAGACAGTGGATGCACCCCTAAGACCAATTTTTTTGTTTTGTTTTTGAGACAGCATTTCCCCGTGTGTTTCAGGCTGGCCTTGTACTCACTATTTACCCTAACCTGGCCTCTAACCCATGGTGATGATCCTGCCTCTGCCTGCTGAGTGTTGGGAATACAGGCATATACCACCATAACCCAGCTGAGACCATAATATTAAGTGAACTAATTCAGACACACAAGCCTAAGAGTTGCATGGTTTCTCTTATATGAGAAACTCAAAATATAAATGAAGAGCAAAGTAAAAGATAGATAATCAGAAGGAAAGACACATGTTTCTCAGATGGGAAGGTGATCGAGAGACGGAAAAGATGAGAGTGTGGAGGGGAAGTGGAAGAGACAAAGAATTCAGATGTGTTATGTACATGTACCAGCTCCACACAAGGAAGGTGCACATTACGGGCTGTGAATGTGTACAAAATAAAAACACAAACAAAAATTAAGAAGTAAAGGCCATGATCAGAGCAACTGAAGAAATAAAATTAACCATAATATAAAAATTCTAGTTTCTGTTCAAAATGTAACAATCATTGTCATAAAATTGAGTATCATTAGTAAAGCAAAGACATTGGTGGTATTTCCGGGCATTTTAATGTTTGGTAAGTGTTACGGCTTGTGTCTCGATTTCTCCCCAAAGCCTCATGTGATCTCAGGGCTTTTTCAGAGGTGGCTGAATCTAGAGTGTGTGATGCTGGGGGTTAGAGTAGCAAATCAGTCCACTGATTGGTTTGTCATGGTTCTGTTTAGAATTAAAGATGAGTGCTACAGCTACCCGAGGTGGGTACCCTGCACACTACATAAGGGACAGAGTGAGCCATTAACTATTCCCTGTGATGCCCATTTGCCAAGCTGCCTTGGAGCCAGCTGATTATGGATTGAAATCTTTACAAACTGTGAGCTAAATAAACCTTTCCTCCTTTAATTTTGGGTAGCAAGTATCTTGTCTCGGCAACAAGAAAAGTAACTAAGACAGTAAACATATTTGAGGACTCCAGATAATACTAAAACAAAGTCAATGATGGTGGCACATGCCTATGATCTTAGCACCTGGGTGGCTGAGGTGGGAAGATCACCATGAGTTCAAGGTAAGCCTGAGTTACATATTGAGACCCTGTTTCAAAACACAAAACAAAATTAAAGAATTAAAACGTATCTAATGGCTCTCAACTGCTACCAGTAGGCCCTAGGGAGGGGCTAAGTATACCCTAGACGGTATACCCTAAAAAAAACAAGAATATATAAAGATTTCTAAATTTCAAGTCATTGAACATACACTTTCATAAACACATGCCTCAGCCTTGCAGTAGATTCTGGTCATAACTTTTTAAAAAATAGTCCTTTCTCTCCATGCTAAGAGACTTCAGAATCTAAAAACTATCAGCAAACATCCTCACAATGTACTGGGTGGTTTTCAGTAAGCTATAGACCTTCATTTGATAGTGAGCAGTCCATGAAGTGTCCTGTTTCGAAGCTTTCCACCCGATTTTAACAACTTACCTCTGCAGATCGAGCAAGGATGAGCTCACGATGTAAAGAATTTCCGCCTTCAAGGGTGACAGTGCTGTCCTCTCCACTAGCATTCAACTGGATCCCATTTCTTGAAAACACAAGAACAGTCATCCAACCAGGTTACAGGTGCCTCCAATACCAGCTTGAAATCACAAGAGGATTCATTTATCATCAAATAGCCTGTGAGTACCAGAGGAGCAAAGGGTCTCATTAGGGTAGAGAGAGAAGGGACACTCTTTGTCCTCCAGGATCTGCAACCTAGTGGTCCTAAGAAGACACAAACATGCAGGCCACATTTTAAAAATGGTTCTAGGTACTGGACCCAGCCCCTTCACGCTGAGCTACATCCCATATCTTCTTTCCTTCCTTCCCTCCTTCCTTCCTTCCTTCCTTCCTTCTTTTTTTCTTTCTTTCTTGCTTTTTTTTAAACTTTAAATCTCTAGGATTTTGTATCTCTAGGTTTTCCATGCTGGGCATGAATTTGTGATCCTCCTGCCTCAGCCTTCCAGATCACTGGAATTACAGGCCTGACCACATTCTTTGAAAGGAATTTCAGCTAATGGTTAAAAAAAATAAGAGGAAGGGCTGGGGATTTAGCTCAGTGGCATAAGCGCCTGCTTGGCAAGCACAAGGCTGTGAGTTCGAACCCCGATACAAAAAAAAAAAATAGAGGGAAAAAAAGTCACCAAAAATCTAGATGTCTTTTTTTCCAAAATCAGAAGATGTAGACACATGAGGTCCATGGAGTCTTGATATAAAAATTAGTGGAGCTGGGCCGAGTATCCACTTCTGCCTTCGAGTGAGTAAAGTCCTTTCTCTCTCGCCAGTCACCTTCCACAGGTGTGTATACTCCTTGTACTGACTTTACTCACTTTCCTTACCTGAGTGGCTATAGATCCTGGGCTAATACAAACTTTCAGAAACAAATTATAGCATTAGATGACAGGTATTCAGAAAAGGGAAGAACCATGTACTATGCTTGTTCTCATGTAATTTACAGGTCACAAGGTCATGTGGGTGAGGTGTTCATCAATGGGGTTAGTGCCCTTACCAAACAGGAGGCTGGAGAGTCAGCTAGCATTCTCTCCTACAAAGGGAAGTCAGCAGTCTGCAAACTTAAAGAAAGCCCTAGAACTCAGCACCGATGGCTCCCTAATCTCAGACTTCTGACCCCCAGAAACATAAGAAGTAAAGGTTTGTATCTAAGTCACCCAGTATCAGATGACTTGTTACAGCAGAGCAAACTAAGACAGAAAGGGTCACGGAAAAATTCAAAGCAGTCTCATGGAGAAAAGAAGAGCAAGTATCACAGGCAAAGACAGAAAGCACTGCATAGAGAGCCCAATGGGCCAGAGAGAGAGAGCTGGCAAGGGTTTCTCTGTACTCACACAATGAGCTCCTGCTGCAACTGCTGTACCTCGTGAGCCAGCTCATTTTTCTCCTCTCGTAAATTCTGGAATCACACACGATATTAGGCTGCATATGTTACTGAAGTGAGGAATCTACATTCAACCACCCCACCTTACAGGCTGTAAAATTACAGGCCTACCTCTGTAATGCTCCTGTATTCTGTGATGGTTGACTTCAGTTCTTCTATTCTTAAATCCTTCTGAAAAGTAGAGTGAAGAGTAAAACAATCAATAGATCCATCAAATCATGTGTATCAGGCCATTGGCGTGAGCCACAGAGAAATTTAAAATACCCAGTCATCATGGGATCTTGTATCAATCAATATCAAAAGATAACAAGCCAGCATTTGTAATCAAAACACAGGTGTCATCATGCTGTATGTTTGTCTGGTCCAACAGAATCAATCTGTAAAAGGTGATCCCTGAGCTCAAATCAAAATTATACTTACAATGCAGTTAAGGGGGGGGACAGTGTTTACTACTGATCTATGAAACATTACAGCATCCAACTTGATACATCCACTAAAATCAGTATTTGGTACTGCAAGACCAGAACATATAGGCAATGGGTACCTAGATCTAGAATTTTATCCCACAATTGGCAGATGGGAGGTAGGCAGGGTAGATGCCGAGCAGGAATGGAGAATATGGACAGGTCAAAGTCATGCAGGGAAGCTAATGATGATCTTATCACAGTATTACTGTTTTTGTGGGTTTTTTGTTCTTTGTCTTTTTGAGACAGGGTCTCTCTATGTAGTTCAGGCTGGCCTTGAGCTCACTTTGTAACCCAGGCTGGTTCGGAACTCACAACGATCCTCCTGCCTCAGCCTCTCGAGGGCTGGGATTACAGGCGTGAGCCACCACGCTCAGCTCACAGTATACTGTTAGTACAACATTCAGCATCTCCGTCGCAGTCCAATGACAAGTAGGTGAAGTAGAAGAGTGGCAAATATTGCTCTTTCTTCTCTTCCCTGTCTTATCGGATTGTGGACATTTGTTCACTTAAGCTCTATTCTTCCTATGTCTCTTAAAGTCACTGTAACTAGCATCTCCATAGCCAGCATCATTTGTTACCAGGTAAGCTATAATCACAGGAAACAAGGAGAAACAGAATGGTATCTATGTACCTATCAATCAATCAAACTAGGTAGCAAATACCATTATAGGGAATCTCTTCCCTACAATGAACACTAGGACACTAATCTGCATTACATAAAATAAAACTGTTTTAGCAATATCTAGTCAATGAGGTGTACGCTGGTGTTGTAGTCAGGGGTTGTACAGAGAACAGTTAAAACCAGGACATGGAATTTATAATATTGTTTATGATGGTCACCCGGAGTTAACACAAGAAACTGCAGGAAGTCTATCCACAGCACCAAAGACATAGAATATTTAGCCAAGGGCCTGAATCCCACAGCAATGTCCTGCATGAGTCTAGAAGAAGACCCAGAGCTTATGACAATCCTCCTACAAGTCCAACTAGAGGTCTAGAGCCCACAAGAAGGACTCATACTAGTCTGTTTTATGGATCTGTGCTGGGAAGGCCCAAAGATCAGCAGTGGAAGCTAGAAAGTCTATGTGAGCGGGGTGAAGAAGCTGTGGTGATAGGTTGAGGGTTCTACACTAGAGCCGAGAAATCACGCTCACAACAAAGACCAGGGCTGTCCTGAAAGGCACCACAGCCATCCTCAGTGACACAGAGGCCCCAAGCTCCTCTGACGATAAGCACAGTTAGGTACATGCCAGGAAGCCATCGTGATGAGTTCATCCTGGAGATCAAGCAGCACACATCTTCCTTTCCAGAGCCAAGAAGCAATGCTCGATGTAAGGAACAGAGCTTCTTCAGGAGAACCAATGGCTCAAACAGCAACACACAGGAGAACCCACAGAGCCTCAATGCCTCAGTGCCTCAACACCATGCTTCCTCTTCTCTATGTCTGTATTTATTCTGGAAACTTCCTCAGGTAGATCTATACTCAGCACCATGCTGATTTAATCCAGCTGGTGTTAAGTTGACCACCAGTTTTTAATCCATAACAGCTGGCATGTTAATATTATTGTATTTGTAGATGAACTCTACCAGAATTTAGAGAGAATTTGTTCAAATATATCAGCCAGTGTTTCTCACTCAGAAGAACATTTTTGAGTGTCCTACAACATAATAATAAACCCGTATCTTTTAACAGGAGAAATCACACAAACTGCCATCTGCTTGATGACTTGAAAAGAGGCAGCCAATCCCACAGGATTTCCAAAGGAAGGGACAATACCAACCTCTTGTATACTTGCCTCTTTATTAAACAACACATTCTCATATGCGTGTAACTTCATCTAAAAGGAAACAGATTTAGGGAAGGCCATTAGGACATTGCATCTGTTAAACAACAGTGCTATAAAATCATTCCCTAAGGGAAACTTGTTTCTGAAAACCCTGTAACATGCACATGGTTTTCACAAAGAACTTTCACATCTAGCCTTACACAGCCTCCGAGCAGGGCTCCCTGTCTGCCCTTCACCAGTAAGGAAGCCAGAGCACTTCTGAGCCCCATCTAAGAACACACAGTTTGGGCAGAGCTGAGCCCAAAATGTGAGTGTCTGGCTCCAGTGACGGGTCCTCCCCACTATTCTAGGCATTGCATGGTAAGAGGATGTTGTCTTTGCTTTTTCTGGTGGAAATGAAAATCTAGATAAGACGTGAACATAAACCCCATGAGTCCACAACAAAGACTCCTTCTCTTTTAAAAATAGAATTTTTTCCACTTGAAGAGAAGATAGGCAAAAATCTTGAAGACACAGGTGTAGGTAGAGTTCATGAACAAAACTCAGATTGCATGGGAAATATTTCAAAGAATCAACAATTTGATCTCATCTTATTAAAAAGATTTTTCACAGCAAAAGAAATTAAGAGAATGAAAAGATAACCCAAAGAGTAGGAAAAACTTCAGCCAGTTATAACTCAGATAAAGGATTTATATCTAGAACATATAAAAAATTGAAAAAGTCATCCCCTAAATGCAAACTCAACCCAAAAATGGGCATCTGAGATGAATACACACTTCCCAGATGAAGAAAAATGGCAAATAAATACATGAAATATGTTCAGCATCATTAGTCATTTGAGAGATGCAAATTAAAACAACACAGAGATTCTATGTCACCCCCCCCAAAAAAAATGGCTATCATTGAGAAATCAACCAATAACAAATGCTGGAGCAGCTTCAGGGATAAAGGAACACTTCTCTACTGTGGGTGGGAGTGTAGACTAGTACATTGTGAAAACCAGCATGGAGATTCCTCAAACTAGGACTAATGGTCCCACTTGACCCAGCTATTCTGCTTCAGGATATCTCCCCACAAAAATTAAAATATCACCCCACATTGACATACATGCACCCGTGTTCATAGCAGCACAATTTGTAATAACTAAATCTTGGAAACCATCCAAATGCCCATCAGCTGAGGAATGGATAAAAAAGATGTGGTCTTTTTATACAACAGAGTACTTCTCAGTCATAAAGAAAGATAAGCTTAAGACATTTATAGGTAAATAGATGCAACTCAAGACCATACTCGTAAGTGAAATCAGAATCATATATATGTATGTATGTATGTATGTGTACATATATATATATATACATACAATGTGATATATATATATATATAATGTGATATATATATATACAATGTGATATATATATATATATCACATTGTGTCCCAAAAGAATAAATCAGGTCTAAAGTGTTCAGAAGCTATTGTGAAATGGGAATAAATTATTAAAAAGGAAAAAGAAACTAAGGTGACCGAATGGAAGGAATGGAAATGGAAAAAGTATGTAAGGTAGTTAGACTACTCGTTTCCCTTGGTTCATTGAAAAGAAAGCTTTATGCTAATATTGTTTGGAGAAGTTCTTATACCCATACCTTGTGCTCTGATTAAGTAATTTAAAAGAAACAATATGCAATATAGTAACTATTGTTATTCTACTATTATTTTATAATGAAATGTTGGTTTACTTTTTTCCATAAAATAAAAAAATTGAAACAATTTTAAAGTGCTCAAGATTTCACCATAAATTGAATTTTGAAGATATAAGAGCTTAGTAAACCAAAAGAAAGCTGTTAACATGCATTTCTAAATATAGCAGCAGTGATAAATATGTATCATTATTGAATTAAGAAACTAAAAATATAATCAAAATAGTAAAAGGCAAAAATATCACAATTCTATACATTGGATACCTCTTTACAGTTCTAAAGTTATTTTCACACAGTTATCTGAGCTTGTGGAGTAGAAATTGAGACAAAAAGAAGTTTACAACTTGCTTGACACTGAAATGCTTTTTGGTTAAGAAGACAGGATTTGAGCCTGTGGTTTCTGGTTTCTTCCACTGGTTCACTGCGGTTGTAGTTTCTAAGCAGCCATTTCTCATGTAGAATTAATTGTGTCTAAATTTTAACTGTAATCTGTAATCTATGAATATGCACACAAATGTTTGGTTTCTGTTAGGAAACTTCCAAATTCTACATGCATATGAAATTGAAGCATATCATAACTTCAAATGTATACAACAAAAACAGTGCCCAAGTAAACCAATGTGGTAACAGTGAAATGACATCAATTAATAAATTTATTGAATAGTGACTTCTATTTCCCAATAAGAACATATAAAAAATAACAGTGTATAGTAAACATAGAATTTTTACACATAATATAGACAAAAACATTTTTGAAGGGTATCATTTCTTAATCAGAATTAGCTTTTCCCATTCCTTATTTGTAAGGTATTATTCCTTAATTTAATAGGGGACAGATGTCCCTATTTTTAATTTTCAGCATTAAGAAAATGCAATTTCTTTAACTTTTTTGACTTAGAGATTTAAAAAACCAAAAGCTGATAAATTAGAAATTGCTACTATAATAAAAAGATACCCAGTAATATACGCAATGATACAGAGAAATCTGAACCCCACACTCTGCTAGCAGACTATAAAATTGTACGGCCACTTTGGCAAACAGCCTGGTTGTTCCTCACTTGATTAAACAGGATCAACACGTGACCCAGTAATTCTAGTCCTAAGTGAATAAAAAAGAGAAGTGAAAACATAGCTCCACACAAAAATTGGTAAATGCTAGCAGCAGCTTTATCTATAGCAGCCAAAAAGGGAAGCAGTTCAACCGCCATCAACCGGTCAGATAAACCAAATGTAGTATGCTCATACAGTGGAGTTTGATTGGACAATAAAAGGGATAAAGTACTACCATACCCTCTAGGATGGATGACCTTGAAAACATTATGCTTAGCAAAAGAAGCTGGTCACAAAAGACTACATATGGTGTCATTCCATTTATATATGAAATGTCTGCAATAGAAACATCTAGATATAGATTAGTGGTTACCTAGGGCTGAAGTACATTGAAAGGGGTTCCTTTTTGGAAAATTAAAATGTTTTAAGTTTAATTTCAGTGGCAGCTACCCTACTCTGAATACACCATTAGCCACTGATTCGTATACTAAAGTAGGTAGCTTTCAAGACATGTGAATTATGTATCAGTATAGCTGCTACTTAAAAGTGAGAAAACAAAAGAAACTGCCTTTTATATGAGGTAGACAGTTTAAGGAGTACAAATGTCAGAATTTATAACCATGGGTTACTGCGTCAATGGGTGAGCTATACCTTTGCAGACTAAAACTGGCTTAATAGAAAAAAAAATATTTTACTAGTATTTGCGAAGTGCTTACTTGATGCTGTGTTTCAGTTTCAGATAATTCCTCAATTTTCTTTTCCAGTCTATCTATATCCATAGTGTTCTTCAGGTCCTAATGCAAAGGAGAATAATAGTCTTAGATTTAGCACCAACAAAAATAAAAGCATCTTGATCAAAGAGTCTTGAAGTGTCAACATCGTGACCCACTTAAAAGTAAGAAACAGAAATTGAGACGGTTCAGAAGGGACATGATGCTCAGAACAGGACATCCCAGAACACTTTAGTGGTGCCTTCCTACCCACCATTCCCCCAGCCCCGCACGCTCCTAGAGTCAGTCTTGGCTGCCTGCTTCCTGCGGCCAGGTCCTGGACCCCTCCATGCACTTGCCAACAAGCATGTTATTCTTTAACTGTCTACCTCTTGCCTTTCCATAGTATTTCCTTTAGCACCAACAAACCTTCAGCATTCACCAGATCCTGCCATCCCTCCCTCCTGCTGCCTCGTCCTTCAACCTTTCCTGAACTCATTCCCTCTACCCCCAGCTGAAATCTTTCCCTGGTCAAATGCTAGAATCTCTCCCTTCCCCATGCTTCGCTTCCCTCGCTTATCTCTTGTTTCTTAGTGTTTGGTTAAATTAGCTTGCTGCCCACTCCATACCAGCAGGTCACTGAGACCTTTAACTTCGATGCTCACTGGTGATCATATCACATAATCCAAGTGCATCTACACTGCTTTTTACCTAAATCAGGAGTTGCCAAACTATGCCAGTCATCTAGCCCTAAAGATGAAATCTAGCTGACCATCCATTTCTATCAAGTTGTTTTGTTTTGTGTTTTAGATTTTTAGAGACATGGTACTGCTCTGTAGTCCAGACTGCCCTTTAACTTGGGATCCTCCTGCCTCAGCCTTCTGAGTACTGGAATTACAGGTGAGTACCAACATACCTGGCTTGGAAATAAAGTTTTACTAGAACTCAGCTGTGTTCATTTATTTCTGTATCACCAGTGGCAGCTTCCACACTACAAAGGCCTTGGGTGCATTGTGGGCAAAAGCCTTTGCACAATAAAGCCTAAAAGTATTTACTCTCAAGTCCTCTAAAAAATTTTCCAACCACTAGCCTACTTCATCTCTTTATTTTTCTTCAAACTTATTGTACCTCTAACATTCTCACTTTCAGGTGTGATTTTGTTTTGTATTTCATTGTGATACTAGAACCAGTGAGAAGACAATTCCCATATTACCTGAACATATAGCTAACACCTCAGGCTACATTATAAAGCATTCCCTGATCTCACATCTCTGTGTCCTCTCACTGTTACTGCTTCAAGTCCCCATCAGCCTATGACTGGCTTGTCTCCGGAGCCCCTCACTGGTCTGGCTGCGTTTTCCTGGCCTCACTGTGGTCCACTGTAAGTCACGCAACCAGTTATCTTCTTACAGCAGATATACCATGACTACATTAGTCCTCTGCTCAAAACCCTCCAAGGGCTCCTCCATAAGGAGCCCCGGATGGTCAGGCTCCCTGCAGCTCTCGGCTCACATCTGCTCACATCTTTGCTACTCGCTTGCTGGCCTTACTGCAGCCCCAGGACTTGGAGCTTGCAGTCTCCTCTGCCCGCAGTGCTCTTTTCCAGTTTCCAGGCAAATGATGAACTCTTCCCAGAACTGCTTTTCTTCTTCTTTTTTTTTTTTTTTTTTTTTTTTTTTTTGGCGCGGTACCGGGGATCGAACTCATGGCCGTGCACTTGCAAGGCAAGTGCTTATGCTGCTGAGCTAAATCCCCAGCCCAGCACTGCTTTTCTTAACCATACTGCTTTAGTTGTTCTTCTCCCTCTCCTCTGCTTGCTTCTTTCTTCCATAGCCCAGATTTCCATCTACAATGCAAGATCCTCTCTGGGCCACGTTGCTTAAGTCCGTATTTAGGATGGAATCACATACATGAACCTTTCAATAAGTATGTGCTGGGTGGGAATTGCTACCCAAACCTCTGTGCTGTTATTCTTCACACTGCCTTAGATTTTTACCTCCTAAAGGAATCATAGTTAGTGGGGATATTTAGATGGATTTTCTAACATTAATCACTAATTGCAATGTTACTTCCTGATGAAATTTAAATATTCCATCTCAGTCCTAAACTGGTTTGGTACAATTATTCAATGCTTGTCACTCATTTAAATAGTACAAGAAAATACCTTAGAGTTCAACTACAAAGCGCTAATTTCACAAACAGCTGGCCTCACAGCTGTAACGTGTCTGAATGTAACATACACTTTCTTTACAACCTTTAATTACTCCTTTCTGACCCATTATGAATTTTTAAAATATCCACATGGCTCTTGTGTTGAGCTAACCCTAACCCAGCAGTCTTAATGAATATGTTTAATAGTCTTATACAAAGTCATTTTGAAAACTTTATACAGTACTTGATATTCATAAGATACCTATAGGAAATGTTCCCAGCAAAACAGTAACACAGCAGCTTTGCCGTCTGTTCTCCCACTACGAAGGGTTACTTGAGAGATTACACTAACATTCCCTAATGTATATAAAGTACATTATAAGCAGCTTCACATAAATTATCTTGGTTGTTCTCCAAAACAACTACAAGGAATGTATATTATTAGCACAGAAGAAACAAGAGGATCTTCCAAGACCATGCTTTCAGTGAGTTGAAGACCTGCATATCTGGGCCTCGGGCATCTTGGCCTTACACTCAATGGAGTAACAGTAAGAAATTATTCGCAATGTCCATCCTTTTCTATTGATATGGATATTTTAGGCAGATTTATTTCATGTTAAATCTAAATTTCTTAAATCTTATTTCTTCTACGGGTAACTTCAACAGTGATAAGGTACCCCTGCCCAAACAGAACAGCCTATCAACCCTTACTCGCTTCTGCTTTGACAAATCCACCTGCTGGGTGCTGCAGAGAAGCTGGGTAGTCATGACATCATAATTAACTCGTGGTTATAACCCTGATTGTGTGAGTCCCGTATTGGTCTACACCAGTGTTTAATGGCTCAGGCTCACCTCATCCTGGAGAGCCCGAATCTTAAGAATCAGGGCCCGGTTTTCTGCCTCCTGAAAAGAAAATATTTAAGAATTTTATGAACGTCCCACACATTTACCTTCAGGGCTATGACATTCCTTCCTTCTTACCGACTTGTTTTGTTTGCTTGTTTGTTTGGAGACAGCTCCCAGAGTGCTGGGATTGTTGGCATGTACCATTATGCCTGACATCTTTATTAACTTTAAATATAATATTCACATGTCAAAGTTGAGCCTACTCTGAAAATATTTTCAACATGAGGGTGAGCTCTGGGGAACTATGAGAAGTCAGTCTCCGCTCTGACTCAGTGGGATGGTAGTTAGGGAGGGAGAAGAGGTGCTGGACATGGTGGTGCATGCTTGTAATCCTGCCATTTGGGAGGCTGAGGCCAGGTGATCACTGAGAGGTGGAGGTCTATAGCACTACCCGGCTTCTTTCCCCGAACCTTAACTACCATGTATGTACGACAAGTAGTTGCAAACTCAGTTAAACCACAGAGAGTTCTAGCTTTCTTTTGAAAGTTCTAGCATACTTTTTGAAAGTATGGACAGTCCCAGACTCAATGTCACCACATGTGAACATCAAAAACTATTTTATAATTCAGAGTCTTGAATTCAGTAGAAAACATACTCTAGAATAGGATATTTTCCAAAATGTCATCCATAAAACTTGTTAATATATTCAAGTAAAAATTTCGTGTGGTTTTATTTTTTCTTTGTTGATATGCTTTCCTTTGTAGAATAAGCAAACACCACCTTTATAATATAAAAATGAAATGGATAATGTCATCAGGCTAGGATTTCATTGATACAAGAATAAAGACAGACACGTGGACACAGACACCATGGACTTGTCATCAGAAGACTTGTGTTCAACTTTTGCTCCATTTATTAGGTAATTGATTTTAACCAATCAAAGCCTGTAGATTTTACCATTCTACTAAATTTTTTTCAATATAAAGATCTAGCCAATTGTGTTTCTATCTCACAGAATACCTATGAATACCAATGAAGTAAAATTAAAAGCTCTTTCATAGGTTGTACAGTCCTGCTCAGTTTACCTAAGGCTGCTGTCTCCAACCTTTTTTTGGCACTGGGTTTTGTGGAGGACAATTTTTCCACGGACAGAGGTGGGGTGTTTTGGGGTGATTCAAGCACATCACATTTATTGTGCTCTTTATTTCTCTTATTGCACTGTGTACTCTATTTCTATGAGTATTAAGTTATATTCTCATAAGGAGCACACAGTCTAGCCCCCTCACTGCTCAGGTTACAGTGGGGTTCGCGTTCCCATGAGAATCAACGTTGAGGCTGACCTGTAGTGAGGTGGAGCTCAGGCAGTAATGTCAGCGGTGGAGGGGAGTGGCTGTAAGTACAGATGAAGGAAGCTTCACTCACTGGGTGGCCTCCTGTTTTGGGGAAGGAGGCCCCTATCTAAGGATAGTGAAGCTTAGAGTGGTCCTGTGGCTTGTCTAAAGCTACGCGGCCTTTGGTGCCAGGAGTGGAACACAGGGAGTCTGCCTCTCCAGTGAAGACTCAATCATTTCCACATGGGGCATCTGGGTGATCATTTCTACACAGAGCACCTTGGGCGGCTCCCACATTTGAGTGTTCCCTGCAGTGTACTCAGAACACTGTTCCCACTCAGTGGGAGCTCAGTCCTGACACACGAGCTCAGGTCCTGACACACAGTGAGTCAGGTACCGTCATGCTATTCTTCAGGCAAGCACCAGGCTTAATGAAGCTGCATTGGTTCTGGGAGGTCACAGGTGACTGACTCTGGCCTGGAAACCAAGTGTCCCAATGACCCACAGTCAGACTCTAAAAGCAGCTTTTCAACAGTTGCCTAAAAACAAATCGAATGACAGTCAGTGGTCCCTCACCATCATTAGCAGTGCTAACACACTACTTGAATATAGCAGGATTTTTAGGAATTATTACTAATGCTAACATTTCCCCCCTCCCAAAAAAGTGATCACTTTCTGGCATTGGGGTTAAAGCTTATTCTAAATAACTTCTTGCTCTGAAATTAAAAGCATGTGCTCTTTCAGTATAAGGAAGGATTTATGAAACTTCTCAGTAACCCCTAAGGGCTGAGGGAACTTGTGAAAGTTTGACAGCTTTTGGTTTTTGAAAGTGACTTTTAGTATCAGATGTTATGAATTCACCTACCAACTTTGGGAAACGCTGCAGAGATTTTTCTCGGTCTTTACAAAACATTATGAAAGTGACCAAGGCAAAGTTAAGAAAGAAATTTAATCTCAATGAAAAGAAAACCAATTTTTAAAATATTACTTGTCTATACTATTCAAAGGTGTTACCAATTCTTGTCTCCTGATTGTTGTCCCCAGACAAACCTTCTCGAGCTTCAGTATATACACTGTGTGCCCATTTCAAATTACTTCACGACTTACCAATTGTTTGTTCTGAGATTCAGTCATGCTCTTCCGCTCTTCTAAAGCATTCACAGTAATTTTCAGTTCCTCCAGTTCTTCTTTTAACAGGTTTGTTCTCATAATAGCTTGGTGGGCACTGTGGGGGCGGGGGCAGGACAATGTGCAAAACCTCAAATGTAACCGTCAAAGATACTCAGGAGAGCCAAAGACTATTTTTGGACCGAAGTTGAAACCCTCTAAAGGCTTAAACCAGCTGACCATAGTAATAAAACACTCGCCGCTGATCTTCTCACCCTTGGAGAAGGAAGGAATTTGGAAGGAGAATAGTGAGGGGAAGAAGAATAGAGGGAAAACAAATGTATTCTTGAAGTTAAAGATTTGGAGAAGTCCCTTGAAGCCCATCATTGGCTAACTGATATGACCAAATAGATATAATATTACTGTAATTTTATTAATATTTATTAATACTAATTCCAGGTTCTATAACCCTGCATGGAAGAGAGAGAAGATCTTTTACATATTAGTAGTGGACATAACAGCTAACCAAATAATTACCAATTAAAAAAATAACCACTACACAGACACTACCAATAGTCTCTATATGGTATAGTCCATAAAGAATTCTAAGCAATAGAATTAGAATTCTATTATGGAGTTGTTTATAATAGTAATGAATAGTAAGGAACAACCTAAGTGCCTACCAGTTGGAAATTGATTAAGTGACTTTTGATGATCCAAGTCATGGAATAAACTACTTGTGTCTCATTAGATTATAAACATATCTACAGGCCTCAAAGAAGGTATAATTTTTCCCAAGGAATTATACCCCAATCATGCAACAAATTATTGACTTCTACATCTACGAGCATTGTGCTAGGCACTTAAGGAAAATGTATACTCAATCAAATTGAAGTTCCCCTCCCAGGATCTGCAGTCTAATAGGGTAAATACAATCATATAACTACAATGTAGTGTGATAGGAACCAAGGTTGGAGTAGATCTACATTCTGTGGGCACCAAATAAAAAGCAGCTGACTTAGGCAGCAGAGGGTGTGGGTATCTGAGCAGATGCCCAGCAAGGGTCTAGGCAGTTATGTTGCACCATCCAGTAGAATATGGGAAGCACAGATAAAGCAGCACAGCCCCATGGTGAAAAGTTTCATATACCATAGACCCCAAGAAATTTAGAGTTTATCCTGAATGCAAGAAAGCTCCATTTGTTTAAGGTGGTCAGACTCGCATCTGCCGAAAGCATCCCTGCCAGCACAGCATATGTTTGGACGATGAATCACAAGTCTACGTGAAATGTACTGCTGATGTGAATTAAGAACAAACTATAAGAATGGAGGGAAGAAATAGAACTACTGGAGAGATATAGGAGCTAAATTCAACATGATTTGTTATGATAAAAGGGAAAGTTAAGGTAGAAATAAAAGAGCTGATCATTTCTGGCTTGTAGACAAGTGGAGGTAAAGTAGCGCTATTTATTGAGTTAAAATAGATATTTTATAAGCATTAGGGTAACCGCCCATGAACAAGATCACACTCAGCATTGAAGATAAATCAGACTACAGGATGACAACTGCACAATGTCAAAAAGTGGGTGAGACTGGGAAGGAGAAAAGAGAAGACAGATGACTTAATGGGGTATGCAATGGCACTCAGGTAGCTCAGCAGATTCCCTGGAGTCCTGTCCATTCTGTGAGTTACTCAGCTCTTTCCAATGCACTTTTTTTTTTTTAATCAGTACCAGGGATCAAACTCGCAACCCCGCGCTTGCAAGGCAGGCACTTACACCGCTGAGGTAAATCCCCAGCCCCTTCCAATGCATTTCTTGACCACATAAGGTAGAGACTAACTAGCCTACAGACTGGTTCTAGGGTTTGCAACCAACCCTTGACATATTCATTCAAGACAATTTTTAGAAAGAAACTTTGAATCGTATATCAATAAATAATAAACCAACTGTGGAAAGAAGAGACCTGAAGGTAAGCAATTTTGTGTATCATACGTTAAGATTGGTTCAGAGGTTAGACTAGACCATGTCAAAAATCAAGATAAGAATCTATGGCTCCAGAAACCTACTGTCATTCCACCTAAAATCTCCACTAGAAATTTGCTGTTCAGAACTTTAACACCTATGACTGTAAATGCAGACTCTGTAAGGAACTTGTTAACTGGGCATGGTGGTACACAACTGTTATCCCAGCACTCTGGAGGCTGAGGCAGGAGGATCACTGATAGTTCAAGGTCAATCTAGGCTACATAGTGAGTCCACAGCCACTCTGAACAGTAAGAGCTTGGCTCAAAACACTAATGGGGAGGGGGGACAATAAAAAGTGCCTTGTTTTCTTCCCAGATAATCAAGTATTTCTCCCTAACCCATATTATCAGAGTTGAACACCATCTGGTATACATTTTATATTCTTTACTTTCTTTTTATCTTAAGCTTAGGTCCCACATTTACATTTCTTATCCTTCTAGGCAATAGGTATCTGAAGGACACATTTAAAACTTGACCCATCCATGAATCCTCTTGGTATTTATCAAGGGACCTTTCATACATTATGATTTCAACTGAGCTATGAGCTATACATTTGGTTCATAATTGTATTGGACTTAGCACCAGATGACACAGATCACAGAACACCACAGCTAAAAACCAACTCACAGATATTTCTCATGTGAATGTAAGATGGTAAACTTCCTCTGTGAAAGGCTGGTAGTTCCTCAAAATGTCAAGTATAAATCACCCTATGACACAGCAATTTCACTCCTATGGATATACTCAAGAGAATTAAAAACTTAAGTGCATAAAAAAAACTTGTACGTAAATTTTCATGGCAGCATTTTTCATTGTAATAGAAACATATAAAGACCCTCAATGTCTGTCATATGAAGAGGCGATTTAAAAATGTTGCACAGTAATAGCCATAAAAAAGGAATGATGTAAGGGTACCTGCTACAACACAAATGAACCTTGCAAACCCTATGCTAAAGAAAAGCAGCCAGACACAACAGGAGGCCACATATTATATGATTCCATTTATATCAAATGTCCAGGAAAAGTAAGAGACAGAAGATGGACCAGTAGTTTCCAGGGGCTAAGGGAAGGGGAGAGGAAGTAAGAACCAGCAGGAAATGGTATAGGGTTTATTCTTAGAAGGGATGAAAATGTTCTGGGACTGGATAGTGGTGATGACTGCACAACTTCTGAATATATTAAGAAACACTGGATTATACATTTCAAGTGTGAATTGTATGATATTCAAATACTCAACTCATAAAAGATGAAAAAACAAAACCACAGCTCACCTTTTTACTTGCAAGCGCAGTTCAGCACAGTCCTCTGTTAACTGGCTGTTGGCTTCTTCCGAGGATTCTAATGCCAGTTTAAACCTGTGATTTTCCTCTTCCAGTTTCTGTTTGTTAAAATGTAGGTCTGCCACATGGGTAATTAAGTGATCCACATCTCTGGAAGGGGAAAATAAATCAGGATAGTCTTCAATATTGCTAATCACTTCCTATCAAAATAAGAAATATGTTGAAATTCAAGAAGGATTAAATGTTCTTATATGAATTTTTCCACTCTGCCCTCATCCTCATTATAAATGCAGTCCCTGGGGGCTGGGGATTTAGCTCAGCGGCATAAGCGCCTGCCTTGTAAGCAGGCAGTCGTGAGTTCAATCCCCGGTACTGATAAAAACGAAAAAGACAAAATAAAATAAAATAAAATAATAAATAAATGCAGTCCCAGTGTACTTATTGATACATTTATTCAAACTTTTATTATATGGTAATAGCAAAGTGTTCAACAGTGTCAGACAGTCAGCATTTGCCACTTGTGAAATCAATTTTCACAGTTTTTTTTTTTAATTCCTCCCCTCTTCTCTCCCAAAATTTGCTTCCTTGCATACTGAAGTATTCCTGTTTCTTCCTGGGTGATAGAAGGTCCCCAAATCAGTAGATATACTAACCATTCAGGTAAGGATGACATCAGACTTCAACCCAACTTCAACTAGGACACAGTTCCTAGAGTTTTATAGATGTAGCCTATAGCTTACAATTTAGTATTCATCTTCCTTGTGCTTAGCATTAGCTCAAAACCCCTTAAAAGTCTGGACTGTGTTGTTTTACGGCATTCAGACCTCTACTTTCTCTCTTCTATCTTTCTCATTTTGCAGCACAGTCTGGATATACAGGTCTCTCTCCACCTCTTTGTAATATCCAAAGTTCACACACTTAACAGAAAATAGAATTTTCCATTCATGTTTAAAATATCCCAATGAAGAACTTTAAAATTAACCCTCCAGATCACAACCTTACTTCAGAAGGAATTATCTTATTTTTATAGAAAAAAACGCAAGAAGTCAATGAAGGAGAAGGGTTTCATGAGTGAACAAATGGTAATTTTGGGATTGCTGGTTTTATAAGAATTCATTTTCCTGATGAAACTGACTTCAATGTAGATGGAATAAAATAGCTAAAATTTGAAAATTGTGTTGGCTCTACCAAAAAAAAGTTGAATGACTAAGCAAAAAGTTAATCTACCCAAGTATAGTGTTACAAATCAGCAATGCCTGCACTTTGGCAGGCTGAGGCAAGAGGATCACAAGTTCAAGCCCAGCCTGGATTATTTAGTGACTTAGGGAGACTCTGACTCAGAACAAAAAAATTTTAAAAGGACTTGGAGATATAACTCAGTATGAAGGCCCTCCATTGCCAGTATCACTAAGAAATGTGAATCTATGAAAGAAAGAAAATAAATAGGAAAACCAGAAGCACTTAAAAACACTTCACCAACAAGAACACTTACAGGACTCCCCGAGATACCTCTTCACTCCAAGCCTCCAAACTTCCAAATGAGGAATCTGTTACATCTGTGGTCACCTGAACTGAAACACACACAAGAGAATTTCACGAAAAGTTTATTTTCTCAAATCCACAAGAAAGTGGCTCAACAATCCTATAGAAGCGTGTGCCTACTCGGCCCACCTGAGTTCATGCTGTCTCGCTTTTCAAAATCAGAATCTTCAGCATCTCCACGCAGTCTTCTCTTTACTCCTTCCCTGTAGCCAAAAGCAAAACCAGTGAGCTTTCTGGCCACGCTAAAGTTTAGTTGATTGTTTAAAGATGTGCTGTACACTTTCTTACTCAGCTATAGCATTTCTTTCCGAATTCTAAAACCATCTTTTCATTCAAGAACCTCATATACTTAGGTTGATAGAAAATAAACAGAGGCATTACCTGCACCACCTATCAAGTTTGAATCAAATATGAAAAATCATGCATGCAAAGACAGGCAGATGGTGACACATGGCAGCAAATGGCTGGAGAATGAGGGTCACAGTGGGTGAAGGCATTGACACAGCTTGGACACTGGGGACTTTGGAGGTAGCAAGGCACTGGGAAGGAAAAGTCCTGGACAGATATACTGACAGTGCTGTCATTGCCTCTTATCATAGAGAACAAAGAAGTGGAGCCTACACTAAGTATGCTTGGAACATTTTCCTGTAAACTTGGGAACCCTCTATCCAGCCCCCAGTCCAGTGCACAGATTCCGGCGCTACTCCCAAAGAGACTTTCAATCACTTCATTTCAAAGAAACTTTACAATTAACAATTAGCACAATTTAACTTTTGCCCCTTAATCTTTTTTGAAGTTTGATTTTTATGGGCGCACATCCGTAGTACATAATGCTGACATTTACCATGGGGAGCTGGCGCGTGTATATAACACACCTCCGTTCTTTTTATGTCCCCTTCCCATTTGCAAAAGATCTTTCGTTACTAAATCTTAAGCACCAAACCCTTAGCACCGCCCCCTCCTCGTGGAATAGCCAAAAAATTCTTTAAATTTGCACTTGAAGCTCATTGTTTGTCAGTGTGAGGTGTCTAAACAGAAGCTCAAGCAAAACCAGCATTCTAGGCTCCTGCACACACTCAGCCCATTCATGAATTTCTGCTCTTATCTTTCGCATTGAGACCTCACACACCTTTTCCTTTCCTTAAAATTTGTTTGTTAAAAAAAGTTTTCTTTTGTCATCACTGTTTCTAAGTTACTCATATTCTTAGTGCACGATTTATTATATAAGCAAACTTAAAAAGTTTCAAAATAGTAGGAAATTCATGAATGAACCCAAAAATCAAAAGCACCATGCAGAGATAATTATGGGTAATGTTCTCCCAAATTTTTCCTATGCATATTTCTTTTTTTTTTTTACAAAAATGGGATTATACAGTATATACAGATTTACTTGAAATAAATACATATGCATGTTTCTATTGTCAAACATTAATCCAATAGTAATTTTCAATGACAATTAGGATTCCAGTATATGGAAGTACATATCATAATCCATTTGTCCACTCCTCTATTTTTAAATATTTAGGTTGCTTGTATTTACCACATCCATAAGCAACCTCTTAATATATTCAGGATTAGAGCATACGATTATTTTCTTTAAATTATATTACCTACTCAAAGAGACCACATATTTTTAAGGATCTGATATATATTCTTAAATTAGTCTTTTTGTTTTTTGTTTTTTATTTTTTGAGACAGGATCTCACTATGTAGCTCAGGATGGCCTCAAACTTGCAGTGATCCCCCTGCCTCACCTCCCAAGTGCTGGTATTAAAGCTATGTGCCACCCAACCTATCTTAAATTAGTGTTTAAAAAACTTGCACTTCTAAGAGTAATGTAGGAGAGGCTAAATACTCCCCTATACCCACAACATGGGATAAAATCATTCTTTGTTAATCTTTATTAAACTGATTAGCAAAATGAGTATATTCTCTTTGTTTGCATTTCTTTGATTAGTTGTAAGATTGTATCTTTTTATGTATGTGCTTTGCTTTCATTATTACCCTGGATATAGCAAACAATCTATTTTCTTAAGTCACCTATGCACCCTTAACCTTAATCAAACTCTAGCAGGTTTTGCTATTCTTGGGCTGAAAGCTTTCATTAAGCAAATCCCTTGCATGCCCTGGCTGATGCTGGAGATGGAGAATGAGGAGCAATCAACCTGGTTGACCCTGAACACAAATGCACATCTGCAGAATCCCCCAGAGCATCCGAAATCACAGATGCCATTCTCTTCTTCCCCTTTTCTTTCTCTCCCACTGTCTTTTCCTCCTCCCTGTAGCCTTTCTAGGTGCTATAGTTTAGATAGTGAATATCGCTTCCAAGTTTTATGTGCTTGCAGTTGGGGTTTCTGGATGCTGCTTATGGACCATGCAAGAGCCATGCTCAGTGGAGTCGTCCACTTCTACATTGGTAGAAGTCAAATTGGCAGAGTTTTTTTTAAAAAGATAGCACCTTGATCCAAGCACCTTCCAAAACCCCTTCAGGAGCCAAGTGCGCTGTTGGGCAAGAGCAGGTCACTGAGGGATGATCTGGAAGACACGGGGACGGACGCCCCCTTCTCTTTCAGCTTCCCGGCCACCACGATGTGAGTAGTTTTCCTTCCCTGTACCCCCATGCCACACCATTTCTCCTTTAAGTGGCGGGTGGCAGGTACTGGGTCTCAGTGATGCCTACGTATTAAATGTCCAAATTACACTGTCTGCCTCCCACCACTGCCTTTAAAAGAAACTTCACCAGGAGTGCTGGCACATGCCTGTAATCTCAGAACTCTGCGAGGCTGAACCAGGGGCATTACAAGTTCAAGCCCAGCCTGAGGCAATTTAGTGACTTAGTAAAGACTGTCTTAAAATTAAAAACTAAACAAGGCCTGGGGATGTAGTTCAGTGCAAAGGCCTTAGATTCAGCCTAGAAAGGGGAAGGGGACTTAGCTTTTGAATTAAATGCATTGGAGATTTAATGATATCAGTAAGTCACTTGGCTGTCATGCCAATTCAATTCTTTCTGAAAATAACATGTACTACCTCCAGTTACAATAACTGAACACTATCTAAATTAATGCATTAGGGTACTGGTCCTCAAAGAGTGCCCACTTCATCTGCAGCAGCAATATCACCTAGAAATTTGCTAGCTTTATTATTAGCTTTATCACAGATGATTAAATCCTAAGGAGGGCAAGTAATAAGCTTAACATCTTTCAGGAGATTCTAAGGCTGCCCAAATGCAAGAAGCACCAGGTTATAGCACCACCCACACAAAGCAGCAATGATCAGCACCAACTCTCAAGAATTATTAAAACAGAAGCTTAAAAGACATTCTGCAAAAACTCAGTTACCATTTGGGTCTATAGTAAGCCAGCCAGTCCTTGACAGCAGCATGGAAAGTGTCCAGATCCACTTGGGGATCTATCTTTTCAGGGTCCAGCAGGGTCCACAGCTCCTCGAGGCCACTGTCTTCCAGGTCTTGACTACTCGTTTGTCTTAGGTAATCTATTATTTTGCTCACTCCTACTGAGCCTTAGGAAGAAAAGAGGCACATGAGTTTTGAGAGGTGGTATTTTTCATGAATGAAGTCCAAACTCTTTCAGGTCCCTTGGACCTAGAAATATACCATTTAACTCTGCAGCCTGCTGAGCAGCCAGCGGGTCATGGAAAAACCCCTGGCCTCAGGTGGCTGTCTAAGCAAGCTCGTGTCAAATCTTGACACCAGATTCCCACCTGTGTGACTAGGGAAACTCCATCGCTCATGTAAGAACTCAGGTTTCTTACCTGTGAAATCTAGAGGATGACACCATACAGAGTTATTGTGGTTTCAGTAATCATAACTGATGTAATCAAGAATGTTATGGAAACAGAGTAAAATGTCACTTTATTTTTGCTCTCATTTTATTCTCATAAAGCATTCAGTGATTTAAAAAAAAATTCTCCCTCCTTAGATGAAATTTCAGCCTCTTACAAAGTGAGCTCAAGGCCAACCTGAACTGCACAGAGAGACCCTATCTCAAAAAGACAAAAAAGAAAAAGAAATTTCAGCCTCAAGTAAAAACTTTTTTTTTTTTGGAAGGGGAGTAACTCTTAAATATAGTTAGTTCTACTATTACTGTCAGAAATTGAAATGATACACATTATGTTAGTAATTGACACACCAAACTTCTTTAAACATTAGACAAAAAAAGGGGTAAAAAGGCTGGCTGTTAGCAAGACGGAGAAATTTTAGATTGACAAGCTAAAGACGGAGAAATTTTAGATTGACAAGCTAGATGCAAGACTGAAGACTCTGCTCAGAGAATTACATATAGACCAGGACTTAAGGAAGAAAACCAAGTCTTATAATTACAAGGACATGGTGACTACAAAGGAAGGAGAATAAGTTGAATGGGACCATTAACATAAACCTACATACTACTCAGATTCAATAAGTAGTGTGGAGAAGGGAAATGTAACTCATAATCACTTAGATGATTTATTCCTTATTTGTAGTAGAATGGAAAAACAACCCCTGGAAAGCCACCAAGACTACCTTTACGTCCTTTTCCTCCCCTGAAGCTCTACATTCTCTGTCATACTCCCCAAAACTGGACTAATACAGTCTACTACAATGGTTAATTTTGTATAATGACTTAACTTGGCCTACACTACTGGTGTTGGCGTGAGGGTACCTCCATCCTGCTATCCAGTCTTCCCAATTACCGAACAAATTTTCTTGTAGTATGCTTTTTTAATAGTCAGTCCTGTAGGTGAGGAAAACAGCTATTTCTTCTTACTGTGAGTGAGCCTCATCCAGCTATTTAAGGCCTAACAGCAGAGAACCTCTTGACTTTCCCCAGAAGAGAGAAGGCATCTCTTCCCGCTACCTTCGAGTTAGGACATTGGTTTTTTTCCTCTGCCTTTATACTCAAACTAAAATGCTGGGTCTTCCACATGCCCAAAGCAGCCAGCTCACAGACTGGAAATACACCATCAGTTCTCTTATTCTACACCATCAGTAGAGTTGGACTTGAACTAAGTCTCCTGTCTCTCAAGTACTCCACTGTGGACTCGCCAGGCAGATCTCGGGTCTTACCAGTTACCATAATTATGTGACACAGTGCCTGATACTAAATCATATGTGCATATAATTTGTTATTTTCATCAGTAAAATAATTCCATTAGTTCTGTCAGAGCAAAGAGGCTTTCTGGGAATAAATAAGCCCCATGCGCCCTAAAAATATAAAATAAGAGTGCATAGAAATATTGGCTGCCATAATGTTCACATAGCATTATTTATAACAGAGAAAAGATAAGACCTAGTGGAGATGGGTTAGTTAAATACAGGATTCTACCTCAAAAAAAAAAAAAAAAAAAAGAGCATACCACAAGAAAATTTGTTCGGTAATTGGGAAGACTGGATAGCAGGATGGAGGTACCCAGAACTCAAACAATAGTTTCATGTTGAGTGTGAGTGATGATAGGAAAACAGTAAGAGAGCCACTAGAACCTTGTAAGAGCCAGAGACCTAGGGCAACAGAAAAAAAGTATTATAGCGTCTGCCACGGGCTCCACAGCAGTCTGCCTTTGGAGGGTAAAACTAGAGGGTTCCAGCTGCCCTGTCTATCCTAGATACTAGGCAGGTTCGTGTTCTTCATGAGCTTGAAGCCTGCCTAGAGAAATAACCTGAAATCCACACAGTATCCCAGATATGCAAAAGAGTTCACATCATCTCCCAGTAAACCTCCAGGATACAGCAGCCAGGAGCAGTCTTGCAAAGGGGCCACTGTCTGAATTTGGACTGCTTTAGGGTCAGAACCCCCTGCACATGCCTAGCTCTGGGACCACACAGATATACTACCATACTGCCTTAGCAGGTAGCTGCCCTGTGAACCCAACTTGGCCAAGCAAAGTGATTTTAAACCAAGCTCACTGCATGCCCTGCACTGAAGAGGATGGATACTGAGACATGGAGGAGAAGGGAGGTCGATGCCCTCAAGAATCCAGAGTTCAGGGAGTTGTATTCTGGGACCAAGGACATGGCTGGGCAGGTTTCAGCTCAGGTCAAGGCCAAGAAAGAGAGCAGACAGCCATATTCTTCCTGCCACTCCTCCCTCTTGGGCTAGGTCAGCTGCCTGTTACTACCTGGGTGAAGGAGGAACACTGGTTTCTGCTGCTGCCCTGCCCACAGGGGTGTGCTAAGGGTGACTTGAGCAACTGCGTTCCACGACCCTAGGTGTCCAAGGCCAGAGGAGAACTGTGCTCAGCTCCAGCTGAGGTCCAACTCACTGGTAGGCACCACCACCAAAGCAGTAGAGAGGAACACCGCAGTTCCTGCTGCTACCCATCCAAAACAACTCCAACAGGTCCCCCTTGCTCCTTTTCTGACCATACACTGCTCCAGGACTGGTGTGAGCACTGCAGAGGGGCTTCTGGGTTCACCCCACCATCCCTTTCCAGGCAGCCACTGGGCCCACACCACTGCCTGGTTGGGGACAAGAGCCTCCAGTCCATCACCACTTCTGGTACAGCAATGCCAGAGACCTTACAGGCAACAGGACCAACCTCAACAGAGCCTCAGGAAACCCTTGTCACCCAACAGGGGCCACCCAGTACAGGAGTAGCTGCACAGCCTGTACCTGACACGCTCTGCTGTCCTCACCACACCTATCTGAGCTGCTGAAGTGTCCCAAGTCTTGCATGACCCTGGAGCAGCAGGTCTTTCGAACCTTACTGGAGCATTCATAGTGCCCAAAGTCATTAATCACAGTCACAGAAGTAATAGCAAAACTCACTATGGTGCCCAACTGGAATCAAAGCCAACACTGCATACCAAATCAACATCCCAAGACACATTTTGAAAAGAGCTGTTCATTAAGAAGGCCATCTTAGGGCCAGGATGTAGTTCAATGGCACAAGTATCTGCCTGGCAAGTGCAAGGTTCTGAGTTCAATTCCCAGTACAAAAAAATTGCCATCCTGGGCAGGCATGATGGCATACACCTGTAATCTCAGCACTCAGGGAGGCCAAGGCAGAAGGATCACTGTAAGTTCAAAGCCAACCTGGGCTACATAGTGAGTTCAAGGCCAGCTTGAACTACATAATGAGACTATCTCAAAAAACAAAGTTCAATCCTTATTTATCAGCTCTACAAATCTCAACACAGGAATCCAAGAGTATGCAAAAACCAGGCAGTAATTCTAGCACTTAGACGGCTGAGACAGGAGGACTGAAGCATGTTTGAGACCAGCCTGCGTTACGAAGTGAGCTCAAGGCTAGTTTGAATTGCATAGTGAGATCTTCTCTCAAAAAAACAAACAACAACAACAACAACAACAAAAAAAAACCCAAGGTAATATTACACCTTCAAAAGAATGCAATAACTCTATAGTAATAGACTCCAAAAAAATAAAAGAAATAATATGCTGCTAAATAATGTTAAAGAATGATTTATTAAAAAGGTCAATGAAACCTAAGAGAATGAAGACAAACGGTTAAATGAAACTGGGAAAACAATGCAGAATATAAATGAGGAATCCAAAGAAGTAAGAGATTTTAGGAAAAAGAAATAGAAATCTTAGAAATGAGAAACTCAAAATGTCAATAAAAAATATAGTTAAAAACCTCAACAGCCAACTGGAACAAACAGAAGAAAGAATATATGAACTTAAAGACAGGCATTTAAAAAAAATAGACAGGCATTTAGAAATACATTCAGGAGGCAGAGACGAAAAAAGGTAAAATTAAATGACAATCAAGTATTAAAGACTTTGGGACACCATTAAATGCACAGACATCCACATTTTCAGAATACTTTAAAGTAAGGGAAAAGATACAGGCAGAGAATATCTGTTCAATGAAATGATAGCAGAAAATTCCCTTAATTTTGTGAACAACATCGATATCCATGTGCAGGAGGCTTACAGGAGCCCTAGTAGATGTGACCAGAAAAGATCTTCCTCACAGAAATTATAGTTACATTTTCAAAGTATAATACAGGAAAAAATTTTTAAATCTGTAAGAGAAGAGCACCAAGTCATATTTAGTGTCAGTTCCACTAAACTAACAGCAGATTTGTCAACAGCAACCCTACAAGCCAGGAGGGAATGGACTGAGATATTCCAAGTCTAGAAAAAAACAAAAGAGGAGAGGAGAAGAGAAGAGAGGAGAGGAGAGGAGACAGAAAGACACAGAGAGACAGACAGAGCAAACCAACCATAATTACTATATCCAGAAACACAATCCTTCAGAAATGAAAGAGCTATAAAGATCTACCAATATAAGCAGAAACTGAAGGAATTCATGATCAACAGGCCAGCCTTATAAAAGATGTTTAAGGAAGCCCTACAACCAGAAGTGAAAGACCATTACCAGCATGAAAACATAAGTCTCCCTCAAAGAGTAGATACACAATACAGAAATAGAAAAGAATCAAATATTATCCGTAAATGACCAAACAGATATATGAAAGCTAAAACAAGAAAAGAATATTCAAAAGAACTAGAAGAAAACAAAATGGTAAGAATAAGACCTTGCCTATCAATAATTAC